CTCACTCCGCTAAGCTTTTTTTGTAAAAGGGAGGACTATAGCGAAAGAAGCGAAAGATATGCAGAGAAAAGGGGGTGACAGGGTTCCGCCTAAGACTGACGGCAAAATAAATGAGGGAACATGACACGGAGCTTCGCGAAAGCTGTACTCAAAAAAGACTCAGGACCAATAGCTCTATGCTAGAGTGCACAGTGAATGACGTGGATCACGTACCGTCAAGAAGAGGACATATCGCTGCATGTTGAGATGTTGAGCTTGTTTTGGAATCCTAATTCCCCTATATTTTCATCGCTCTAACCTCCATCAGGGTAAATTTGACAACATGTTTCAGAATTCCGAAAAAGATCATTCTCTAGCTCTCTTGGCGATTCTTTTGATTTCTCTACCCTTTCGGTGCCTTCTTTTGCATTATTTTGAGGAAAACCCGTCCAGCGTAACCAAAAGGGCCAAATTGAGGCCTAGAAGATGTATCTACGGATCTTTCACGACAACTCTCAGTCGTAGCTCTTCCATGAATGTGTTAGGCTGCTTTCATAGTTTGCCAGCCGGGGGCGGCGCTTGCCCCTTGTTTACACCTGAATCGCGCTCGCTCACTCGCGGGCTGACCGGCGGACTATAAAAGCAGCCTTATGAGGATTCCCTCGCCTATAATAGTCAAAGCATTATGGGAAGAATATTTCGTGATTTCTTCTGTTTTGTTTCTCTGATTGCAGTCATTCGTAGACGATTATGTTTGGCGGGGGGTAGTCTTTCTCGAGAGGTCCAAGCACAGCAGTGACGTCTATACAAATTTCATCTCCCTAGTCATTCTCATTAGGGTACACAACAATCTTCCTTACTACACGAAATCGGGAGGCAGTTAGTGAACGCCCATACTTGCAGAATCGTGTCACTGATTTTCGGGGGAGAGAAGACCGTAAATATTCTTGAAGAGCTCATCCCACCAACCTCCTGTTCAGCTGTAAACTCAAAAATTCAATTCAGACCCAAATTAATCAAATCAAATTCGTTCCAATGTCACTTCCTAGCAATTTGTTCATTCCTTCGCCAGTTACATACGTGAGAATCTCCTCGTTGCAAGTGAAACTGAGACTGCATTATGTTGAATGTGTCTCAGAGAGGACTTTTTCCGAGTCATATGGTCATGCGTGCGTGTAATGTGAGCTGCATCTGGGGAGCATCAAAGGGCAAACGTCCGGGACTGGCTGGGGCACAGCAGGGAGAATTCACCGAAGTACAACCCTTTTTTCATTTTTTTAGATTTCCTATTTCTCCTCGAATTCTCCTTTGGAGGAAATCTTGCAGAACCAATCTAAGGAAGCCGTTCTCCCTGCAATGGCAGGAGATGCTTTGGTCCATTCTCATGCAGAATTATTGGAAGAGTGGCCTATAACCCAAAATCTTGGAAGAGTCTTCATTAGGTATCTAGGGCCGAAAGTGATTGATGCCCACAGAAGGCTTACGATACCTCGAGGGTTAATCGGGTTGCTCCAGACTTTTCATTCTCCAATACTACTTTCATCTCCTTGAAATGTTACACAGCATTCCATAGAAGACCTTTGTTTAGGCCGTACACTGGGAGCGCAGGGTTGTAAACGAATAGGTAAAAACCCTTGTTTGCAAGTGGATGAACCGCTCGGAGACTTGTGCCGAAATCATGACAAGGTGAACTTGAGACCAGTCATCACGTTGAACCCGCAAAACCTAAAAACCCCATGTCGATAGGGTTTTTTCGAATGTCATCGATCAAATTCGGTGACAACTTGCCATCTTGACGAACGAAAAAGATAATGACAAAAAAAGTTCTTCCAATGATCAGTGTCCAATTTCAAGAAAGCTCTCAAGTGCATTTCGAATTAAAGCATCCAAGAAGAAGGTCTCAATGTCGGTCATTTTCATTCAGAGATACGCCAATGACCCTTTTTCCATTTAGGACCATAGCGGATCGTTCGAACTTCTAATATTGCAAACACCATTGAGGTTTAGACANAAAAAAAAACTGTAGTCGTTCATTAAAACGCATCCTGTCAGGGAGACATAACTGAAGTTCATTTCGGGCAACACGGATAGGAACGCTTAGCCTACTCAACGAGCACTGTAATGATATATTTATTGCTCTTCGTGAATACTGACTCCATTTAATCCGGGAAATTCCCGCTTCTATACTTATATTATTGTTATTATTTATATGCTATTTATATTATAATTTATAGTTTAATTTTCTGTCATTAGATTTGCGTCTAGAGGGCTTTTGCTTTGTTAGAAGCTTCAGTGTCACTAGAGAATAAAAAAATTCGGCAAACAAGTCCCTTCAACAGACAAACTTCCCTCAAGAGAAAGCTCCTCTTAAACTTGCAATCAGTAGCCCACTTCAAAGATACTGCAAGTGCTTTTCATATAATTTTGGTGACCACACAGGGAAGATGTCCCAAAAGGTGTATGACCAGAATGCGTTTTGGTGAGACCTCGTCGAAACACCCAGACTAGACAGAATTCGTGTTCCAAAATTCTCGTTTTTTCTATTATTGAGCCTGATGGAAACGAGTTCTACCTACCACAAGAGCCGTTTCCGAAAACTTTCCAATTATCCAGCACATGCATCCGTTATAGAAATGGGAGCAACTGGAATTTATGAGAAAATTAACCCCTTCACCTCTATTCGACAGTTTTGAGCTTTTCAAAGAATAGCCCGAATTGCATATACGACTGATTCTGGATGTCCAGCTTTGCAGGTACTGATCCGTGCATGTATCCAAGCAATTGCACGAGATTTTGAATTGCTGATCACCGATGAATGGGAGAAGAGTTGGTTGGCACTCGATAGGGACCAGATGATTGAAATACTCAAATGCAATCAACTAGTTGTCGCAAGTCAGTTTACCTCATCTCTTGGGTCCTTGTCTTTTGACGGTGGGACGTTTAGAAAGGAACGCCATCGCCTTATATGTACTTCATAGTGCTGATCTTTTTGAAATTCGTTCATAAATAGTTTCTCCAAATTTTTGCTTACAGATGAATATCGTCTATGGGAAGCGGTGATCCGATGGCTGCAAGCACCGAATCACCCGGAACGACGAGGTACCACTGCCAGCCCACTACTTTCGTCACTACTGCCGTATATTCGGTAGGTGTTACTCTTTTGGCTTCTGGGTGTTACTGACGCTCGCAGTAATGGATGCTCAACAAAACTTACGGAATGGTAGATAGTTCTAAAGTTGGTTCTGCTAAAATGCATTTAGGTTTCGAGTGACTGGAAGCGTACTTACCAGTACTTCACTCATCAGACAGAATCTACTAGTATTTATGGGGAATGAGATCTTTCTCTTGGTCTAAGACGATCACATCAATTCTGCCGATGGCTCGACTCCCGTTATGATAGAAATAAACGGATCAATCGGAAATGCGTACCTGGAACTTTTCCGGGCTCCTTTGATGCATGTGCCTGATTGAGTAGTATATATAGCGAGCACAGCTGTACAGAGAGTTGGGCCTATCCTCCGAACCAAGGGATACAATGAAAACTTTCCACACTCACCATTCCCTGGAAATGGGACACTTTTCACGGAGGAGATCCGTTCAATGACGAAGCCTCTCCTAGGCCAAACCAGCATATGAAGAATCTCAACGTTTACGGGGCGAAAGCCTTCATATTACTCACTTGATCGCTCCACAGGAATAAGTATGAAAACGTTGAATATAATTGATAGCTGAGATGAACCGTAAGAAGGACCGGCCATCCGCCCTGTGCAGGTGCTCGAAGGCAACGCTGAAAAATGTGTTTTGAAAAAAGAGTAAAATAAGTTTCCCAAAATTTTGAGGACTTACAGATAAAGCATGAAGATAGAATTAGATAAAGAAAAGGTGATGACTTAGCCGTTTGCAGAAAGACCAAAATTTTCTAGCCATGCTAAGCCGATCAATGGGTGGTTCAGTTAGAGTTGGTCAAATCGAAAGAAGAGTTCTCATCACTTTCATCGACAATACCCTTTGTTGTATCCTTCACCTATACCCTTTCCTCCCTTTTTTTGGCTTTGCTTTTCCGGGTTCTGCAGTGCCCATATCGGTGCGTGCTCTTTCCATCGAGTTCAGTTGGCTACTCCCACCTGTCAGCCGGCTTCTACCCATTTTTCAGCTCTTTTTGGTCACCAATCTATGCGCGAGCACCGTTTATAGATAAGTTGCCCGAGTACAGATTCTGCAAGCTTCTTTCGATTTGGTCAAGCCTTCACGCTGCCTTGGAAGACACTTAGTGGTTCTCAGAAGTCCTCAGGACATAGCCCACTTTAACTTTGGCTCCGCCTACATTATCAGATCCCGTGATACGTCAGACAGAGTGCCTCTCAGGCTTATAAGCTCTGCCGAATAATATAGCAAGGTTATGTGTAAGGTCTCGTAATATTTTCCCTTGAAGTATTTTGTGATTTTTCAGATTTCCGTTCATGACTGCCGATGAATTGACTCATGTGGAACGTTCTCAGTTTGCCGAATGCTATCCGAAACTGTTTCATCCGCAGATATTGCTAGCCTACAAGTTCCAAGCTCTTCCTCTTTCTAGTCGCGTCAAT